TCACAGCAGAAGAAGGGGAGAAACTGATCCGGGTACTGAAGGATCACAAAACTGCCATAGCTTGGAGCATTGCAAATATCAAAGGTATAAATCTAGCTACATGTATGCATAGGATTCTGCCGGAAGAAGGTGCAAAACCAACTAGGGAAGCTCAACGCCGTTTAAACCCACTCATGATGGAGGTCGTTAAGAAAGAGGTTATCAAACTTCTTGATGTTGGCATCATATATCCTATCTCGGACAGCAAGTGGGTAAGCCCTGTTCAAGTAGTTCCGAAGTGATCCGAAGTCACAGTTGTTAAGAATGAAGCTAGTGAGCTAGTACCTACACGTGTGCAAACTAGTTGGAGAGTCTGTACAGATTATCGGAAGATAAATAGCACCACACGCAAGGATCACTTTCCAGCTCCGTTCATTGATCAAATGTTAGAAATGTTAGTTGGTCATTCTCATTATTGCTTTCTTGATGACTATTCTGGATATAATCAGATTGCAGTTGCTCCGGATGATCAAGAAAAGACGACTTTCACATGTCCATTTGGCACATTTGCATATCGAAGAATGTCGTTTGGACTTTGCAACGTCCCCGCCACATTTCAAAGGTGTATGGTAAGTATCTTTTCTGATATGATTGAGAAAATAATTGAAGTGTTCATGGATGATTTTTCAGTTTATGGTGATTCTTTTGATACATGTCTACATAATCTGTCCCTAGTTTTAAAACGTTGTCAAGAAACTAATCTAGTGTTAAATTGGGAAAAATGCCATTTCATGGTTTCGCATGGATTAGTTCTAGGGCATATCATATCTGAAAAGAGAATTGAAGTTGATAAATCTAAAGTAGAACTTGTTAGTTCTTTACCCATCCCTACTACTGTTAGGGAGGTTCGTTCTTTTCTTGGACATGCAGGTCTCTACCGTAGGTTTATGAAGGACTTCTCAATGATTTCTAGACCCTTGTGCCGTTTACTTTAAAAGGATGTAACATTTGATATGAATGAAGAGTGTGTGGTAGCATTCAACAAGCTTAAGGAGTTGTTATCCACGGCTCCTGTGATCATGCCACTAGATTGGAGTTTACCTTTTGAGTTGATGTGCGATGCTTCAGACTATGCTGTTGGTGCAGTTCTAGGGCAGCGTGTCAACAAAGTGCCACATGTCATCTATTATGCATCTCGAACACTCATTGATGCACAGTTGAATTATTCAACAACAGAGAATGAGCTTCTAGCTGTTGCATTGCTTTAGAAAAATTTAGATCTTATCTGATTGGGACTAAAGTTATTGTGTTTTCTGACCATGCAGCTTTGAAGTATCTACTCACAAAAAAAGATGCAAAACCACGACTCATTCGATGGATACTTCTGCTTTAAGAGTTTGACTTGGAGATCAAGGATAAGAAAGGGAGTGAGAATGTTGTAGCAGATCATCTTAGCCGATTTGTGCATTCAAACACAGAGGAAGATCTCATCTCTTTACGTGAAAGTTTTCCGGAAGAGCAACTGTTTTCATTTAAGATTACTGACCCTTGGTATGCAGATATTATCAATTACAAGGTCATCAAAAAGATTCTGGATGATTTTACACGTGCTCAAAAAGATAAGTTTGTCAAAACCGCCAAATACTACGAGTGGGATGATCCTTATTTGTGGAAATATTGCACTGATCAATTGATTAGAAGGTGTGTCCCCGAATCTGAGTTTAAATCTATTCTAACTTTTTGTCATTCTTATGCATGTGGTGGCCATTTTGGAGCAAAGAGGACAGCCCTGAAGGTGTTAGAGAGTGGTTTTTATTGGCCTAGTTTGTTTAAGGATGCGTACGAGTTTTGTGCAACATGTGATCGTTGTCAACGAACAAGTAACTTAGGCCCAAGAAATCAAATGCCACAAACCCCTATTTTGGTTGTTGAGATCTTTGATGTGTGGGGCATTGATTTCATGGGACCTTTTCCATCTTCAAATGGTTTTCTTTACATATTATTGGCTGTGGATTATGTTCTAAATGGGTGGAAGCAAAAGCCATCAAAACTAATGATTCAAAAGTTGTTTCAGATTTTATTAAGAGTAACATCTTTGCAAGATTTCGGATACCTAGAGCAATCATTAGCGATGGAGGGAGTCATTTTTGCAATCGAACATTTGAAGCGTTGCTTAGGAAGTACAATGTCACACATAAGGTGTCTACACCTTATCATCCACAAACTAGTGGTCAATCAGAAATATCAAACCGTGAGGTGAAACAAGTTTTGGAGAAAACTGTGAGTCTTAGTAGGAAAGATTGGAGCATGCGCTTGAATGATGCATTATGGGCTTATAGGACTGCTTATAAGACTCCTATTGGAATGTCCCCATTTCGATTAGTTTATGGAAAACCATGCCATCTTCCAGTAGAGTTAGAGCACAAAGCTTATTGGGCGATCAAAGCCTACAACATGGACATGAGTGTTGCTGGACAACAGAGGAAGCTTCAATTGAATGAGTTAGACGAAATCCAGAATGATGCATACAAGTCTAGTCGAATATATAAGGAGAAATCAAAAGCATTTCATGACAAGATGATATCAAGGAAGAGCTTTTTCATTGGACAAAAAGTTCTTCTATTTAATTCTCGCCTTCGGTTATTTCCAGGTAAACTTCGTTCTTGATGGGTTGGTCCATTTGTTATAACTTATATTTTTCCTCATGGTGCAGTGGAAATCCAAAGTGCAAAGACCGGAAACATGTTCAAAGTGAATGAGCATAGACTCAAGCCATATTATGAGTGCTTATTGGGAGGCAACCCAATATTTCTTTCCATTGTCTTTTTCTGTCATTTTCCATTTTTCATTTTCTTTTCTTAATTTTCTTGCATATTGAACTGAATTTTTTTTTTTTTTTTTTGTAGGAACATATGGTTATATCCACCTTTGGAGTTTATTGCAGAATTGCAGTTTGGGGGTCATCACTTGATTTTACTACAAATTGAGGAAGTTTTCAGTCCAAATGCTTTATTTTGTTTCTTTTTATTTTATTTTATGCATTAATGTGTTTTTTTGACATTGGGAACAATGTCCAGTTTAGGTTTGGGGGTAATGATTGAAAAAATGACCAAATTGAAAATTTTCGTACCTTCGACTAAGAACTGGATTGATTTGTTTTCTTTAAAAAAAAACCAAAAAAAAAAAATTCAGAAAATTTGAAAATCCAAAAATATTGTCTTATTTTCTTTATCATTTTGAAGTAGATTTTTGTTAGTTTCCCGACCCAATGATATAATTGGATTGAATTTGAACCACGGTGATCAAGAATTTAGTAAGCATTTGTTGTGTGAAATTCCTTATTCTCTTGTTAGCCTTGTACATGTTTAATCATCTTTGAAAAACCAAATGCACATAGCCTTGTTGATGTGAAACTAAAGTATGACTTAAAGCTTCACATGTGAATATAGTGACCATATACAACCTATGTGAGTTTTTGAGCCTATTGAAAGTGTGTGCATTTTTCATACACTCATATTCTTTCATGTGTGATGAACTTATGTGAATTACATCTCTAGAACTTGCGTAACGATCTTTCGAAATATTTGTCATTTGATTGCATGACTTGAAAAGGATAGAGGCATTAGGTTTATCACCATGGCCTAAATAAGCATGTTTCCTAAAGAAAAATGATATTATTAGATTGCCAATTTGAGCCGTATATGTTGAGCCTTTTATTTCTTATCACCAGATATGTCTACCCTTATACCTTAAACATTTTTGCTTACCCTTTCCAAGCTAGCTAGTGAGCAATGTGAGATTGTCTTATGAGTAATGTTTGTGAAGTACTTTGAAGGAGTTTGGAAAAAGAATAAGTGTGGGGGTATTTCATGTATGTATTTAGTTATGTGCAAAATTGGTTCCAAAAAAAAAAAGAAGAAAAAAGAAGAAAAAAAAAGAAAATTGTATACAAAGAAAATAAAAAGTTTTTTTTTTTAAGTTTCAGTTTAGGGGTGTGGTTGGAGGTATTAGCAGAGTGGTTGGAGAGCTTAAGTTCTTGTAAATCTCAACAAGAGAATTGCTTGCAATGTAGTTTGGAACTTGTGTTTTCCTATCCTTTCATTTCTATAACCCTCTTACTAAGCCTCATTACAACCAATAAAAATCCTCTTGATTTAAGTTTTGCAATTATGATTGTAGAGATGAGATCTTTATGCAAGCTTATGGTAGATCTTTCACATCTGATTCTTTGAGCGAAACACGTTAAACTAAACATATGTGTGATTGAGTGTATGTCCCGTGAGAAGATCACTAGTTAGCATGTGGTGTTTTATAAAAAAAAAAAACTTGAAATTGCATTAGCATGGCTATTACACACACTACACTTCATGAATGATTAAAAAGTTACTGCTAGCATTTGAATAAGGAAGATGAGCTTGGATTAGCTTGTTTGGTGCTAGCTAAGGTTCTTGATGATTTGTTTTCTTGAATGAAATTCTATGAGGGTCACATAGGGGGAAGCTATTGTTTTTCATGTTGCTACTTTTTCATATTTTCTTCGTTTTGCTCGAGGACTAGCAAAAGCTAAGTGTGGGGGTATTTGATAAGCTCATATTTATATATATTTTACATCAAATTCACTTGTCTTTTCTTAGTTAGTTCCTTATATGTTTGAGCTATTTACTTTGTTTTTGTGTTTTGTAGGATTTGTCAAGCAAATAAAAGAAAAATAGCACAAGTGGGATTTTAAGTAACAAATTCGTCAAAACTACCTGTGCAGGTCAGCTGACTTTGGAAGCAAGTTGCGAACAACTCAGAATGAATTAAAGAATGAGCCTTATATGCTTGGAAAGCTACGGATGTCTATTTTCTGGAGCATTTCACAACTTGCTTCCAAAGACAGCTGACTTGCACAGGCAGTTTTGACGAATTTGTTACTTAAAATCTCACTTGTGCTATTTTTCTTTTATTTGCTTGACAAATCCTACAAAACACAAAACAAAGTAAATAGCTCAAACATATAAGGAACTAACTAAGAAAAGACAAGTGAATTTGATGTAAAATATATATAAATATGAGCTTATCAGGGAGAGAGGAAAAAAAAAACCTTGAGGTGCGCCTAGGCGGCTCCGATGATGCCTTCCACCCACTCCCTCAAAACAAAGGGGTCAACCCTCACTCCTAGCCTCAGAGAACGCCTAGGCGCATCCTGAGACGAGCCTTTTAAAACATTGGTTTTATTATAATAATAACAAAAAAATAATAAAAAAATAAAAATCTTAAACCTAATTAAAAAAACACAGCGGAATACATGATCACTAAGTCTAGACCAGAAAATTAAAGAAGCATGCCCGAAGCAATTTGTCCCTCTTGCAAATCCACTAAAAGGTAAAGATTCCACACAGAGAACTGAGTTAAAAATTAATCCAAAAAATTCTCCATCTTCCGTCTTTTTATATATAATACATGATAAAAAATATGTATGATTCTATTACGGCTCATATAAGCACACTTACCTTCCTGAAGAGCATTGATAGTTGACTGCAAATCTGAACGATCTTTTTCTAGGCTGGCCATCTTTTTCCTGCAGACTCATTAATAGTTCTCTTCAGAGCCATTGGAAATAAATCTAGAAATAAAAATGTAGCCACGCAGCACGATAATTATATGCAAAGGAAGGAGGGAGAAAGGGGTGGGGAGGCATATACCAGAGATAAAATTGCGCAGTTAATTGAAAATGCATCCCATCAAATACAATACCATACTTATAATGTGACAATAAACAATAGTTTGCTAGATAACCAGAAGCACTTCGGTCCAAAAGCACATTGATAAGATCCCGCCATAAGAGGAAGAGACCTTGAATCAGATTCGAACAAGTCCTACTTCAGGCACTTGCCATCTCGACTCCTTGAGCATGTGAGCATGTCCTTGCATATTATGATGGCACAACATTCTATTAAAAGCCACAAGCCCAGTGATCAAGAATGAAAGAAATGTTCACAACTTAATCCATAATCTTATAACACATATACCACATTCTATAGCTCACAACTCAGTAACTTGTCACATTCAGGGCAACTGTCGAATTTTCAAATTTAATTTCCATTTTATTTTAAATTTCCAAGACAAGTATAACATTCTCCATAAAAGAGACGGGAATGGGGGAGTGATAAAAAATCAAAACAAGTGATTCAGAATATGTGCACAATTCTTAGTTTACTGCATACTAAAACGATAACGTACTTGTATGAAGAGATTTCAGCTTGTGCGTTCTCCATTTGAGTCTCCAGCTTTAGCTCACTGGACCTTAGTCTTATTAAACTACAGAAATATAGTGAGAAGAAGAAGAGATTCAAGCAATTTAGAGAGAGAAGTAGAAACCAAACACTTCCAGTATATTACTTTTCTTACCTTCTAAGCAATCCCACATACATCAGTATTTATACCCTTTTCAATATTCTAAACAAACTACCTAACTAACTTTCTAACTAACTCTCTAATCTGCATACAAGTGGCAGTATCTCAGCCACACAATATATGTCTATCATCCTCCCTCAAGCTCATGTTTGGATGATCCTAACATGAGATTGTTACAATGAAAAAGGAACAATGAAGAACTGAGGCCTTTGGTCAAGATATCAGCAAACTGCTCCTTGGAGGACACAAACTGCACCACAAGCTTGTTCTGAGAAACCCGCTCTCGAACAAAATGCACATCAATTTCAATGTGTTTGGTCCGTTGATGTTGGACAGGATTGAAAGACAAGGCTATAGCAGAAAGGTTGTCACAGTATAAAACAGGAGGAGCAGACATCGGAAAATGCAGAAAAGCAAGGATTTGTTGAATCCAATCAAGTTCTGCTGCAGTGGAGGATAAAGCACGATACTCTGCCTCAGTCGAAGATCGGGACACTGTCTGCTGTTTCTTAGAGGACCATGAGATAGGATTATGCCCGAGGAACACCACAGACCCTGTTGTAGATCGCCGATCATTGGGATCTCCAGCCCAATCGGCATCACTAAATGCAGATAGTGCCAAGTCCCCTTGAGAATAGGTAATGCCACAGGACATAGTGCCCTTCAAATACCGAAGGATCCTTTTAACTGCAGTGAAATGAGAGACCATGGGATACTGCATAAACTGACAGACTTGATGCACAGAGAAAGCTATATCAGGGCGTGTGAACGTTAGATATTGAAGAGCACCCACCACACTCCTATATAAAGTAGGATTAGGATAAGGGTCACCATCATCCTTGAGTAACCTGGTAGAAGGTAAGCAGGGTGTGTCACAAGGCTTGGAGTCAAGCATTTCTGTTTTGACAAGGAGATCCTGTACATATTTCTGTTGGGACAAAAATAACCCCTTGGCAGTCTTGGAAATCTGAATGCCAAGGAAGTAGTGAAGAGGACCTAAGTCCTTGATGTCAAATTCAGAAGTTAAAGCATCAATGACCTGCTGAATCTCAGTGATTGCACTTCCTGTGATGATAATATCATCGACATATAGCAATAAGATCACAATATTGGCACCAACAGGTTTCACAAATAAGGAGGAATCAGAATAGGTGTTATGGAAGCCCAACTTAGGCAGAAAAGAAGTAAACCTGTCATTCCATGCCCTCGGGGCCTGTTTTAAGCCATATAGGGACTTATGCAATTGACATACCAAAGTAGGATTCTGGGGATCCTCAAAGCCAGGTGGCTGATCCATATACACCTCCTCCTGTAAGATGCCATGGAGAAACGCATTCTTGACATCTAGTTGCCGAAGTGACCAATTAAAGTGAGCAGCAAGTGCTAAAACAATCCTCACTGTGGTGGGTTTAACAACTGGACTAAAGGTCTCACTGTAATCCAGCCCAGGTTCTTGACTAAATCCCTTGGCAACCAATCGAGCTTTATGGCGTGCAATTGAACCATCTGAATGTCTCTTGAGTTTGAAAATCCATTTACACCCTACTAAATTCTTGGTCGCAGGTAAAGGAACTAAACTCCATGTTCCTTGAGTATGCAAAGCACTGATCTCTTCCTTCATTGCTTGAAACCACACAGGACTCTTGAGAGCAGATTTGTATGTTTTGGGTTCACACATAGACAAATCAGCATCCATGGAAGTAGCAAGAGCAGACAAAAGAACCTTCTTTTTGCTGATACCACTCTTACTCCTAGTCTGCATAGGGTGTATATTCAAGGAGGGAATGGAAGAAACCACTTGTAGTGTAACAGGACTATGTTCAAGTACCACAGGGTTGTGATCAGTGGGTGAAACTGCACCAGTAATGGACTGATGAGAGGGTGGTGGGTCAAGAAACTGAGACGTGGTTGGTGAGAAGGATGAAGACCCGGGAGCAGAAGGGGAATGTAATGGAGACTCAGGAGAAATAGGAGTATGAGAGGAGGGTATAGTGACTATAGGCTGTGAGGGGACGACAGGAAGAGATGACAGGTCAGTAATGTGAACAGAAGTAGGAGATTGTGGTGTGGTGGCTCGGGACAACAAGTCATTATAAGGAAACTCATGTTCACTAAATACCACATGTCTAGACACAAAGAATTTATGTGTAGAAACTGCAAAACAAATGAAGCCCTTGAATTTGGATGCATATCCCAAAAACACACATTTTGTAGTCTTAGCTTGAAGTTTGGTAGCATTGTAAGGTCTTAAGAAAGGATAACAAGCACAACCAAACGTTCGCAAGTGATGAATCACTGGAACAGCACCATATAAGGCTTCAAAAGGAGACTGGTTATGGAGAATGGGAGTAGGCATTCTATTAATGAGATAAATGGCAGTTTGACATGCAAAGGACCAAAACTGGGAAGGCAGTTTAGCTGTTTGCAACAAAGTAATTGTGGTTTCAATAACGTGTCTGTGTTTACGTTCAGCCATCCCATTTTGTTCAGGGGTATAAGGACAGGATTTTTGATGAGAAATGCCCTTTTGGAGAAGAAAAGATTGAAGTGACTTGCTAATGTACTCACCACCACCATCACTTTGCAAAATTTTAATGTTTGCAGAGAATTGAGTGAGAACATAAGCATGAAAAGCAATAAAAGTGGCACAAAGATCGGATTTATTCATCAATGGGAAAATCCAGGAATACCGGGTACATTCATCAATGAAGGTGACATAGTACCGATATCCATCCACAGATTTACAAGGTGCAGGACCCCAAAGATCACTATGCACTACATCAAAAGGAGTTACAGATTTATTGACACTTAATGCAAATGGAAGTTTACAGAATTTACCCTCAAGACAACTAGGACACAGAACCGGATTTGGGTCTTTTGCAAAAGCAACTTTGGACTTATGCAACATAAGAGAGACAACTGAATTAGATGGATGTCCTAATCTATTGTGCCAGGTAGTAGAAGTAACCAACTGACCAAGGAGGGCTTTATTTGAAGCAATGCTTTGAGAACCAGCAGGTGACACATTGGCTAGAGATGAGAGTGGGTAGAGTCCATTACTGCACAATCCTTTATAGAGTACCCTCCCTATGGCCTTGTCCTGGATCCAAAAACAGAAGGCATCAAAGATAAGCCAACAATTATTATCCAAACATATGCGATGGACAGATAGAAGATTCTGTGTTAATTTGGGAACATATAACACAGAATTCAATTTTATAGGATGGAGAGATGGTTTTATAACAGTACTACCAATGTGAGATACAGGCAAACCTTCACCATTGGCAGTTTGTATGACTTCATTAGTGGGATAGGGTGAAGCTAGAGACAGATTGGAAAGATCAGCAGTCATATGATTCGTTGCCCCGGAATCAGTGATCCAAACTTGGGAAGGAGATGAAGATGCTGCTGGAGGAGAGGGTTGTGGCACCATAGTATGAAAAGCCTGCATTGGTGCCTGAGACTGAATTTTGTTGGAGCAGGAAACTGTGATGAATACCCTTGCTGTGAATAAGAAGCCTGCTGAGAAATATGGATGCCCTGGTTGTGGATAAGAACCATTGCCAGCACCAATATAGTTGGGACCCTTGTCATTGTAAAAACAGAACCATGTACTGTGATTAAACCTGCCACAAATCTGACATCGGGATTTCGCAGAAGAATTGGATGGACAGAAAGGCGCAGAATGACCACCACAATTGCAAAGTTGACATAAGAGGAGATGTGGAGCAGAAGGAGGGGAGTGCTGCTGATGAGGAAAAGAACCAAGAACACCAGGACTTGGATTTTGGAGAACACATGAGTTTGAGTAGGAAGATACGGCTTGGATGAAAAAGTCCTGTTATTTTGATGAAACCGGCCCTTCCCCTTGTTTTTGGGAGCATTGAACTGCTTGAAACCACCAGCCACAAAATTGGATTGAGTAGGTGCTCTCGGAGGTAAATTATGAGCAACCATTGCAGTCATAAAAGGTGCATTAACAGTGGATTCCAGAATAGCTTCTTCAGCAAGTAATTGTGTCCTAAACTCCTTCAGAGATATAACATTCTCACGTCCCCTTATTACTGTTCTGAATGTATTATACTCTGGTGGCAAACCATTCAACGCAAGAATGACAATATCTTCATCAACAAAATACACCCCAGCAGCTGAAAGATAATCTCTGGCCTCTTTGATTTTCTGTAAATATTGAGCAACAGAATTAGATCCCTTTTTAATGGTTTGAAGATTAGACTTCATCTGAAATATGCTAGTCTTGGAGACTGTGGAGAATTGTTCTTGCAATCGAATCCAGAGATCCCGAGAGCTTGTACTACCAATAGCACACGACAGAGCCATTGGACTCAAAGAAGCAGTCAGTAACTGCATCAAGGCTTTATCATGCATTATCCAAATCAAATACTCATCACTAGCAGAAGAAGTTGTTGAATTTGAGGAATTAACACCAGAATCTCCAGATGGTGAGGAATGTCGAGGAGGACAGGGATGCGTGCCGTCGACAAACCCTAGAATTCCATTACTCTCAAGCAGTAATTGCATTTGAAAATGCCAAGTGAGATAATTCGAATCATCCAACTTCACATTCACAGATGTAGAAATCGACGAAACTAGAGCAGTGATCGGAGATTGAAGAAGCTGAAGTTGAGAAGCTGTTACCATCGTTGCCGAAACTCACTGAAACAATGCATCAAACACCTGGAGTGCAATATTAGAAGAAGACGAAGACGCAACCAGATCGTAGTTGCAGAGCACCCAGAAACAATAAACCCTAGAAAGCAGAGAAGACAAAGTCAAAGCAATCAAGAAATGCGTACAAGAAGCAAGAATTCAGAGGAAGACGAAGTGTTGGAGCTGCGGAAGACTCGGATCGAAGAAGCTGATCAAGCTCTAATGGCGAGTGATACCATATTAAACTACAGAAATATAGTGAGAAGAAGAAGAGATTCAAGCAATTTAGAGAGAGAAGTAGAAACCAAACACTTCCAGTATATTACTTTTCTTACCTTCTAAGCAATCCCACATACATCAGTATTTATACCCTTTTCAATATTCTAAACAAACTACCTAACTAACTTTCTAACTAACTCTCTAATCTGCATACAAGTGGCAGTATCTCAGCCACACAATATATGTCTATCAAGTCTTAGTGCCTACAAAAGTTAACATAAAAAAATTGAATTTTTTTTTTATATTTTATTTTAAAAAAGCACTATCAACGATGAGCAATTTCATTACCTAACTCATATCATTATGTGCATACACACACACATATAATCAAACAAGGATAAACTTTTCTGTTTGTCAAAAGTGCGAACATCAATAGTTTCATATCTCACATCCAAGGGAAAAAAAATATCGTGAGAGTTTCTGCCTATCATCTCCACTACAATTTGCCAATCCCGTATGTCCCTTTATTCAGACAGAAGAGAAATAAAATAAGAGAAGGAGAAATAAAATAAGAAAAGTTTTGAAAAGTTTTCTCCCCATAAAAAGCAGAATTATAAGTTCTTCCTAAAGGCAGTACCTAAAATCCAGCATACCAAGAAAAATCACTACCTTCTTCTCTAATCCAATAACTTCGGATGCCAATAGCTTGGAATGTTCATCGGCTGCATTACATTCTAACTGTGCATTTGCATATTCATTTCTGACTGCATAAAGTTCCACCTATTCACAGCAAGAAATTAAAACTACTACAACATAAATTGAAGACGAGTCAAGTTCCACTTATAATAGATGACTAATAAACTAGTAAGGTCACTTCTGATTTAAATGAATTCTAAAATTATCAGGAGAAGGGGGATGCTTGACTCTTACCAGCTGGTGATTGATTTCCTCCTGTATATTTTCCAAGTCAGATTTTAGTTGATCGACAATGCTTCTCTGGAGAGAAAGAAAATAGAAAACAGTTGGAATGAAGCCAAGGGCTGTTGGACTATGAATGACTTTGTCAAGGAAACGCAGGGGGAAATCATATCGAATGAGGTTTGCACAACTGTCTTCATAATAGGATAAAAAGGCAAACAGAAATTAATACAAAGATGCATATCCTACCAATGCAAACACAAAAGCTATGTTTAATTCACAATGCATAAGCAAAGTAAAAGTTACACAAATGTAATGGTGCAACATCATGTAGTGCAGAAAAACCTGTTGGTTATAACTCTCTGTCAAAGAAGAATTTTCAGCAGCCAATGACTCTGCTAAAGCATGTGAAGCCTCGAGTACATGTTGCAAAGAGAACTTGTCTTGTGTCAAATCTTCAATATGCTGCATAATGACAAGGTAAATAAAAAAACACGTCCAAAGCAATGAGCATACAAGGGCGACATCACTATTTAAACAAACTTACACAAGGTTAGATCAATTAGTTCTTTTTATTTTGAAGTACTACAACCTATGATCAGTAGCGGAGGGAAGGGGGGGAGGGGAGGGGGGGGTCAATGAGTTCACATGACCCCAACAACTCTATATTAATCCACACACTTTTTGATCCCAATACCCAATAAGAACTTCCAATAGTTCAGTTTAAGTTTTAGGTTCAGTTTAAGTTTATGTCTGCATGGTTTTGATTTTCATTATTTATCAAAACACTCTATTAATCAACAGTATATCATAGTGAGTTCAATCAATTGAAATGATTGTTGAATAATCTTTCACAAAAATTGGTGTATTTGCTTATGGCAGTCAAATTAAAGGTTGTGGCTGCTTAAGTGGAAAAAAAATCTACTATTATACAGTATGATCAATGTATGGTTATAATTTGGTTGTATACGCAATAATGATACTAATGATAAGGATAGAATACAACGATGAGTTCAAATTATAAGAACCAATCATGAATTATATATTTAAATAACAAAATGTTACGACATCTACTTCTTTAGCATGACCACAGTAAGTTCAAATCATGCTTCCGCCACTGCCTATGATCAATGACAAAGCCATATGAGCCAATTTATCACGTAGATTGGTTGAAGCACAACAACACAAGAATATCTAACAAAGTATCACATAATAGATGCCAGCAAGTTTTCCCTGATCTGCTTGAAGAGGAGCAACAATTTATGACGATCGGGAAGATTTTCTTTGATTGCAGGCACTTGTTTGAAGTCGTTAGTCCATGCGTACAAACGAGGAAATTCTTTGGCCTCGAATAACCTCACCTCAACCACGTCTTCGATGACTCCAAACCAATGAGCAATTCCTCCAAAGGCAATGTCCACTATTCCAATGTTGTCTCCGCCGAAAAACTTCTTTTTTCCAAGAGTACCAGCTGCGTGATCTTCTATAGTTCTCAGCATCTCCAAGCTATCTTTCTTGGCCTTCTCTTGCACTTCGCCGGTGGTTCGGAAGACCATCCAAATCGCAGGGCCCTGTTCGAATTAGAAACAAGTTTGTCAATATAGGTATAATTACGTAATGTTTTTTTGGTGGCTAGTAGTCTGATGCACGAAATAGTCTCATCATATGATAATTTAGACTATATATTATGAAGCAATGTTATTCAGACATACACAGTTGTTAAGCGATTGACATTTTTCATTTGATTGAAAAGTGAAAAGGTAAAGTCTATATAAATCTATAGATTAATATGCCCTTTGCTTTGACTGGTTGATGATACATTCAAACGAGGCGAGCAGCGCACACTGTATTTGTCAAGTGACAACTCCACATGTACTCTAATATATAGATCAAATATAGTTGCTGAATCAATCGATGTACCTTGTCTTCAGCAAACTTAACCCAGAAGCGAGCCGTTGCTCTCTCATAAGGGTCAGTGGGCAACAATGGTTTCTGTGGCCATGTTTCTTCTATGTATTCTACGATGACCATGGACTCACAGATCGGCTTTTCGCCATGGACGAGCACTGGGATTTTCTTGTGAACTGGATTGTACTTGAGAAGTTGAGGACTTTTGTTGTTGGGAAGATCTTCCTCTATGTTATCATATGGTATGCCTTTCAGCTTCAAAGCCCATATCACCCTGCAACTAAAAGGACTAGGCCATGCTCCATGTAGCTTCACTTCAGACATCCTGAGGTAGAAAAATGAATATGTGAGAGCTTGTGTCTAATTTGACTTGCTATATATATGATTATATAATTTACGTATGGGAATATTTTGGAAAAAAGGAAAAAAATTGAATATTAAATATTATGGTTATTCAATGGCTCTGTCAGTGAGCTTTGCAATTTCGATTAAACTAGAAAGGGGTTGAATTCAATAGCTTGTCCTCCACGTTATCTTTTGTTTTTTCTAAGTTTAAAATCCCTTTTCTATTTTTTATATGGTTGTTAGTGCATGCATGTCATGGCACCAATAAAAAGATATTATCTTCAGCCTTCCGTCGGTGCCCAGTTGAACAAAATGGCCTAATAAAACCCAACTAGTGTACGACTTTTCAGATCACAAAAATCTATGAACATGGGTGCCATTAATCTGTGACCTCAAAGGCTCAAATAAATTAACTAGTTAATTATAATACGCATTTATTGGATTCTTTGTCAAAGACTCAAAAGCCAAACACCGAAAGCATACAATCACTAATCATCTAAAGAGCACATGTTCCGAAATTCAAAAGTAAAATGTGGAAGCAAAAACAGAGCAACCCAGTTAAAAAGAGAGATATGAGTTGTTGTCTCTAATCACTAATATTTTTTATTAAAAAAATTTTGTTTTCAGTATTTTTTTTATCAAAGTCCCTCACTTTTGTATCCCTTAGCATATGTATTAATTATTTCTATGTCATCTAATGTATTTCTATGTCATCTTATTTTTAATACATTTATGAGATTTCAAATAAAACTCATGATTTATGGTATTAAAATTTTTAAAAGATAAATTAGAATCCCCACTCCCATGATAGAAAATTCAAATCGATAGAAAATTATGGTCTACCATAACAATGTATGTACATATAAATTATGTTGCAATCCTAATTTCATTAAGAGTGTAATTTTGTAAATTCTAATAGACCATGTATAAGAATCTTATGAGATCTAGAGGATCTTTGCTTGTACAATGATAGGGATTTTTACCACCGGCCAAAATAAGGATAAAAACATCTAAAATACTTGCAAGAGAAACAAGATTATCGTAGTATAGTTGGCTCAAGTAAGGTCTTTCTTCACGGGAATTAGTTTGAATAGATTAGCGCGAAATTGATTCTCAACTAATTACTTAGAACAGAGTTTTGAAAAAAAAGGTGATTTAATGACCTAAATTAAGTAAAACGAATTTAATTAAAAAGGTTAACTAAAATCTGCAATTTTAAAGAAGGAAAAAAGAAACAATTTTTAGAATTCAAAGTGAGAAAGTACTAGGGTTCCGCCCTCACTTTAACAATCCTAAAAAGTTTTACCAATTACTTATGAATTACAAATGCAACTTTGAAGGTTAGGTTTTCCTAAAGTATATCCTACTTGTGGCATTCAAGCTAGAAGATATATCAGACATGCAATCCGTCTGTGGCATTCAAATCAAATATAAACATGCATGATTCATTACGCTTTATGAAAACCCCTTGGCAAACCATGCAGCCCTGAAGACATGGCATTCGTCCTAGGTGAAATTACAACTATCAATTACAAGAAGCAATACTCAATCCTCCAATGGCATTTCGACCGTATTGCATCCGATTACTTATCTAAACATCCTAATGGTCGCGAATCATTAAGACACAAAGACAGTTTAAACACAGTGATTAATCATTCAAATCATGCATGCAAAATATCATAAGCAATTAAATAAAGATTATATATTCATGCTGAGGCTCATGGCCTCACCCTAGCAAAGAGGATTAGTTACGCATATTCATAATAAAAATCGCAAAGTCTTTATTGAAAATCGAAAAAGAATTAAAAAACCTTGAAAGTATAAGTCTTGAAATCTCTAAGCTTTGCCCAAAATCTTCTCTCAAAAAATTCCATAAAAAAGAATAAGCTAGGGCCGACCAAAAGGCTTATTTATAATACTCTAAGTAAATCCTCCTAGTAAAGGTCTTAGAATAATGGCTCGTTTGGATGTGTTTTTAAAGTGACTAAAAGCACTTTAAGTTACATTTTTACTAAGGATTGGTTCTAAAAATATTTTCACCAAAAACGTTTTTAGTCATTTCAAAAGCATATCCAAACGAACTCTAAGACTAAGAAACTAAGTAAATTGAAATAAATTAGGAAACATAATCCTAAATTGACTTGGTAAATTTGCCCAAAATTCTGCTAGCCACATTTTGGACTCATATCAGGTCCAAATGTAACACCCCGACCCCTAATTATATGTATAATTTTGTTGTTCCCTAAAATGTTTACAAAATTATCAATTTAGTCCATATTCCTTTACCCAATTGAGCTGCCACGTGGCAGCACCTATCAACCCGCTTGAGGAAACCCATCATCATCATCAAACCTCGTCTCTCTCTCTCTCTCTCTTTCCCATGGCTATAAGGGCAGCGAACCCAGGAACTCTCCGGTGAGATTCCTTCGATTTTCCGGTTAGGTAAGTTCGATTTTACCTTTCTTTTCGTTCTAGTGTGAAGTTTAGATGAGATTTATTAAGTTTATCTCGTTAAATTACAAGGTTTTAGAACGAAATTAACTCGGGAGAAGGCACACCCATTTCCGACGAAACCATGGGTGTCAAAGGATTTTCCGGTCACCTCTGACCGTTCTACGGCAAACCAAAGGTAGTTAACTTCTCCTCTCACCTTGTGTTTTCGTTTGGTACCTAGATCGGAGTCTAGGACCCTCGTTTTCAGTCGGTCGGAGCTGTAGAAGCTCCGGTGTTCGTTCCCAGTGAGATCAGGCCTTCAGGCCGTTTTCAAAACCCACGGGCTTTAGGCCCGTTGTGAACCATTCCAATAAACTAACCTGTCTCTTTTTATTTTGATTTTAATTGATTTAAAAACTCAAAAGGCCTTCGGGCCATGTTCTTTAGAGCCTCTGGCAGTTGGCCCAACCCAAAATCCATTTTCTTTTATTTAATTTGTTTTAAATCAAATAAGGGCCCTTGGGCTATTTTCTAATAAGGGCTTTAAGCCTAATCTCTAAACCCTTGGGCTTTTGAACTTAAGCCCTAATCCGGATCCAAGCCCAAAACTCATTGACCTAGTCTGACCCAATTGACTGACATGTTGACCCGGTTAACCTTTGACCTGGTCAACGTTGACAATTGACCGTTGACTTTGACTTTCAGGTTGACTTTCAGTTTTTGTCCGAGACCTCTCCTAAGCTAATTTCGACGTCTTGAATCCGTTTACGATGTCCATTTTCCCAAATTAAATTGTTTGAGTAGAGTTTGACTAAATATACCATTTTTGTGCTTAGGGGCAATTATTGTGGCTTTTGCATATTTGCTAGTTGCGCGGCTTTTCGATGGCGAAGTAATGTGAGTGGACCTCTTCTAAAATTATATGATTTTATGGTTTAATTGCATAAATGATTGCATGCCTTACGAGTTTATGAACTGATTTTATGTTAAGCATGATTATTGAATATGTTGATTTTCGTCTCGTGTTTTTGGTGAGGAATTAATTGTTGGCCTATTTTGAGCTATATTTTAATATATAGTATTTTCTATAAAAACCATGAATTGGTAGACTATCTGATGGATGACGATAGGATGCTAAAACATGTTTTCGAAACCCCTCTTATGGATGACTTTATACTATGAAATGGTTATTTTGAGAGGCGTAACTATTTGTGCATACCTAGTGGACACTATGCCGCCTGGGGCAAAGATCTGGTGTTGGCAGTTAGGCCGGGACAAATAATCCCTAGAGAAAGGCTAAGGGACACGGAGACAGGCATTGGGCCGGAAGGGAGTTATCTCTGGCTACGGGCACAGAGACTTAGGTGCAGGCATTGGGCCTGGAGTATTATTATTCAGTGATCTTACTGGCAACACACCGCACTTACGAGACGATCTGTGAGACTATTGATGTTTTGGTTTCCGCGATATGTCTTTTGAGATGTTTATGGCATGCTAGGGTTTTCAGAGAAACCTATCATTTATTACGCTAGTAGTTTTCATTATTAAAACCTTGGGGGTTAGTATGTTTATAACTGTCTTTGTATTATGTATGTATATAAACTTGGTCCACTCACCCTTGTTTTGCACCCCCTTTCAGGATTTAGAATAGAGACATACGATCCCAACGTCAACGCTTTCACATTGGCATATTTGAGTCCTCTTGGTGTAGGACCCACATCCTCTTATTTATTCAATTTTATATTAATTCTTTTAGAGCTCTAATTTGTTGTAGGCTCTGAACACGTTCCTAAATTATTAACTCATTGTATTTAAATTCATAACCCTTAATTACTTCTTATTCATAGCTTTTGTATCAATTAATGACTTTCGTCACCCTCGGGTGTCGGCCAACACGTGTCTATCCTGGTATTCGGGGAATATCAGGGTCGGAGCGTGTCACCAAAATAGGCCCAAATTAGCTAGATCTAAAGCTTGAACCATTCTAAACACTTTTCCAGAAGCCCATGAACCCATCTGAGATCATCTTGGGCTCCAAAAATTGCATTTAAGCTCAAAAACGTCACTTTCCTGCAACACGCATTGCTTTTTTATTTAATCGCTAGAAAATAACCGCTTGGTAGAAATTGCTAAAATTTTGAAACGAACGTCTTCCAATTTGAATCACTCCAAAAATCGTCCGTTTGATTACGTTTCGCTCCAGAAGAAGTTGAATGTCCTATGTTGAACATATAAAGCAAAATATCAAAATTCTACCAAAATAATTAACAAATTATACTAAGAATAGGGTAAACTATATAATATGAAATGACTCATCATACAACTTGTATAACTTGGAGAGTAGGTTTCTCTCTCCCTAATTAGTATAAATAAAGGCACAAGGCATAAGTAATATCACTCATGAATTCCTCAAGCCCTTCTCTCCATTCTCTTCTCTAATCAATATCTCTCCTTCTTCCCTCATGAAATTGATACTACAATATGTTATCAGCGGGCTCCCGTTGCTATGCTTAGGAACTAAAGGATTTTGGAGAAAGATCTTCTACAACCAATGTTCAAAGACTTTCATCGTTTCCATCCAATACAAGTTC